TTTTTTTTTTTTTGCTTGTAGTTGTCATTGTTGTTCCACAGGCCCAGACTGGATTCGAACCCGCTAGCTCTGGTGTATGTGACAGGTGCGGAGCCTATCAGTGGGTCCTTATAACAATTTCCAAAGTCTAACGCAGCAGGTAAAAGGCCCCTGGTGAGCTGTTTCTCTCTCCAGCTTCATCTTGAGCAGTCCTTCTCTCTGGTTCAGCGTCTATTCCCCCAGCCACTTTTCCCTGATGAGAGCACTACTCTCATCCCTCTGTACCCAACTCATTCTGCAGTGAGGAAGGCCCTTTCCTGTTTGTTCTGGAAGGTTCTGAGCAAGGCTTATGTATTCTGGCACTAAGATTCTGGATGGACACAATGAGTGCACAGCTGTGCCATCCTCTGTGAGCCTTGTCTGCTTAACATCCATTCAGCTTCTCCCTTAGGGAGAGCTTCACAGAGCTATGCACTCGAATCTCTGCAAAACACCTCTCATTAACTGGAGGGAAGTCCCTTTGCTATAGCAGTTAAGAGAGAGTGCTCTGCTCTACATTAAAACTGGATTAGAACTCTAGTCCTACTACTTATTAGCTCAGTGACTTTGGACATCTCCAAATCCCTGTTTTTCTTTCTTTCTTTTTTTTTTTTTTTTGAGATGGAGTCTCAGTCAGTTGCCATGGGGTTAAGTGCCCTGGCATTATAGCTCACAGCAACTTCAAACTCTTGGGCTCAAGTGATCCTCTTGCCTCAGCCTCCTGAGTAGCTGGGACTATAGGCACCCACTATAATCCCCGGCTATTTTTTAGAGATGGGGTTCTCACTCTTGCTCAGGCTGGTTTCAACTCCCGAGCTCAAGCAATCTACCTTCTCCAATCTTCTAGAGTGCTAGGATTACAGGTGTGAGCCACCATGCCTGGCCCTAAATGCATCTTTTTTCTAGAAAAGGCACCATGCACTAGCAATTACTGAGTTTCACAGGTACAACTGGGATATTCATTTTGTCAGTTTGATTTTGTAAAAACTTATCAATTGCCTCCCATGTGCCTAGCATGTGCTAGAAACTGGTGGTCATACAAAAGAATTGTATTTTATGGTTCCTGCCCTCAAAGAGTAGAGAGAGGAAAGCCAGTAGACAGGATAAAAGCAGAGCACAGTAGAAGTCGAGATGGTCATGTGATGGATCACAGGTGGGGTGCGGGTGGAAATAGAATCAGTGACAGTGAAGAGGAGTTGAGTGGTGTGGACAAGGATGTGCAGGGGAGCCAGAGATTCTGCACTGGGCATGGGGTGCAGACAGGCTACAGGGCTTGGGGCTGGGCTGAGGAGTCTGAATATACTTTGGTGAGGAACTTGCAAGGCCTTCTTCACTAGACCTGATTCTTACCTTCTCTTCCATGTCTGTTTTAGTCACAAGCACCTCTTCGGCAAAGCCCACCTCCCTCTCTCGCTTGATTCCCCGACCGTCCTTGTCAAAGACTCTCCAGGTGAACAGGCAGCCATCCTCAGCAGATGTTACCAGGAACTGGTCATCAAAGGTGATCGACATCTGAGAGAAAAAGATTATGGACAGGAAGCCTTCTGAGGCCCTGGGTGGCTAGGCCTCAGCTGCCTCCTGTGCAGCCCCTCCCTCCATGCAGTCCCAGGTGCAGCCTCACAGGGAGGGAGACTTGATCCTTGGTGAGAACAAGCTGGGAGCCTGTACAGGCGTCTGTTCATGAGAAGCAAGGCTGTGTCTACATTCCCTGTGGGTCTGGCATCTGAAGGGTCAGTTATTATCCAGAATGTATAAAGAACTCTCAAAATTCAATAGTAAAGACCCTAAACAACCCAATTAAAAAGTGGGCAAACGATATGGAGCCATTTACCTGAAGAGGATATACAGACAGCAAGTAAGGACATGAAAAAATGTTCAACAATATTAGCCATCAGGGGAATATAAATTAGGACCAAAATGAGGTATCACTACATACTTATTAGAACAGCTAAAATAATGGGCAGTGCCTGTGGCTCAGTGAGTAGGGCGCTGGCCCCTTATACTGAGCGTGGCGAGTTCAAACCGGGTCCTGGCCAAACTGCAACAAAAATAGCTGGGTGTTGTGGTGAGTGCCTGTAGTCCCAGCTACTCGGGAGGCTGAGGCAAGAGAATCACCTAAGCCCAGGAGATGGAGGTTGCTGTGAGCTGTGTGATGCTGCCATGGCACTCTACCGAGGGCAATAAACTGAGACTCTGTTTCTTAAAAAAAAAAAAAGAAAGAAAAAGAACAGCTAAAATAAAAATAGTGGCACTGGCAATAAAGCATAGAAACTAGGTGCTCATACTTTCCCGGTGAGAATGTAAAATGTATAGCTACTATGTATAGATACTATAGCATGGCAGTTTTCTGGAAAAACTGAACATACACTTATCATTTGATTCAGCAATCATACTCCTGGCCATTTATCCCAGAGAAATGAAAACTTATGTCCACACAAAAGCCTGCACATGATTGTTCATAGCAGCTTTATTTGTAACAGCCAAAAACTGAAAAAAAAAAGCTATAATAGGTACCAGGAACTCAGCAATAAATGGTGCATATTGTAAAGGTACATATCAAATCTATTAAGAGTATAAATGTCTTAACGCAATAAGTAAGTGAGGTGAAGGCTATGTTAACCAGTTTGATGTAAGCATTCCAAATTGTATATAAAATCAGAATGTTGTATCCCATATAATGTATAGTTATGATTTAATAAAAAATGTTAAGAGAAAAGGAATAAACTATTGTCATGCAAAACAACTTGAAAGGATCTGAAGGGTACTAAGCTGAGCACATTTTAAAAAGCCACTTTCAGAATTATATTAAATTGAACAGCTTCTACACAGCAAAGGAAACAATCAACAGAGTGAGCAGACAATCTGTTGAATGGGAGAAAATATGGCAAACTACTAATCTGACAAAGGACTAGTATCCAGAATATACCAGGAACTCAAACAATTTAACAGTAAAGAAATAAATAATCTGGGCAGCTCTGCTGGCTCAGTTAGTAGAGTGCCGGCCCCATATACTGAGGGTGGCAGGTTCAAACCTGGTCCCGGCCATATTGCAACAAAAAATAGCTGGGCATTGTGGCAGGTGCCTGTAGTCCCAGCTACTTGGGAGGCTGAGGCAGGAAAATCACCTAAGCCCAAGAGCTGGAGGTTGCTGTGAGCTGTGACACCACAGCACTCTACTGAGGATGACAAAGTGAGACTCTGTCTCTAAAAAAAAAAAAAAAAAAGAAAATAAATAACCCCATAAAAAGTGGGCAAAAGACATGAATAGACATTTCTCAAAAGAATACATACAAATGGGCCATAATATACACATGTGAAAAAATGCTTGACATCATTAATTATAGGGGAAATGCAAATCTAAACCCCAATGAGATATCATCTTATTCCAATTATAATGGTCATTATTATAGACAAAAAAAGATAAAAATAATAGCACATGCTGGTATAGATGCAGAAAAAAGGTGTTACCCACTGTTGTTGGGAATGTATGCTAGTGTAGACATTATGAAAAATGGTATGGTAATCTCTGAAAAAACTAAAAACAGAATTATAATATGATCCAGCAATCTTACTACTGGGTATAGTCAGGGGAATAAATTAGTATATGAATGGGACATGTTACCCCTGTGTTTACTGCAGCCCTATTCATGATAACCAAGATATGGAATCAAGTGTTCATCAATGGATGGATAAAGAAAATGCAGCATATATACTAAATGGGATACTATTTGACCATAAAAAAGAATAAAATCATGTCATTTGCAGCAACATGGAGGTCATCATGTTAAATAAGCCAGAAGCAAACAGACAAATATCACGTGTACTTACTCATATGTGAGAACTAAAAAATTTGATGTCAGGGAAGCACAGAGTAGAATGATAGATCCCAGAGGCTGTGGAGGGTGTGTGGGTGGGAGGGGCAATGGAGAGGTTGGTTACTGAGCACAAACATACAGTCAGATAGAAGGAATAAGTTCTAATGTTCTGCAGTAGAGTAGGGTGGCTACAGTTAACAACATATTGCATATTTCTTTTTTTTTTTTTTTCAGTTTTTGGCCAGGGCTGGGTTTGAACCCACCACCTCCGGTATATGGGGCCAGCGCCCTACTCCTTGAGCGACAGGCACTGCCCCAACATGCATATTTCAAAACAGCTAGAAGAAAGGACTCGAAATGTTTCCAATACACAGACATAAAAACTCAAAGTGATGGATACTATAAATACCCTGACTCGATCAGTACATCTTCTATGCATTTAACAAAGCATCACATGTACCATGTAAATATATGCTAACATTATGTATCAGTTTTTAAAAAGCCATCTTCAGAAGGCCATATTGTCTAATTCCATTTATATAAAATTCTCAAAATGACAAAAATTATAGAAATGGAGAACAAATTAGTGGTTGCCAGGGATGATGGGGGTGTGTGTGACTACACAAAGGGAGTATGAAGGAGGTCTCTGACTGTTTTTCATAGTGGTGGGACACCAATGTCAAAGCACACCAATGTCAATTTCATGGTTTGGTATTTTACTATAGTTATGTAAGATCTAATTATTGGGGGGAATTAGGTGAAGGGTTCATAGGATTTCTGTGCTTTCTTTAAAATTTCCTGTGAATCTATAATGATTTCAAAATAAGTTAAAACAAAAGAGACAACTATGAAAAATATCTTCTCATAATCAGCAATATGTGTCAAGAACCTTAAAAAGGCAACACTCTTGCATTTAGGTATTCTATTTCTGTCTAGGGAATTTAGTTTCAGGAAATAATCATAGATGCACATATAAATTTGAAAGCTAGGATACTAACTGTAGTTCATAAGATCATATAAAGGCCTAGTTGTAAGAGAAAAAGCAAATAAGTTATGGCCTATCATAGGATATCTCTGTAGCTACCCAAATTATGCTTTTTGAGAAATATTTAATTATATGGAAAAAGGTTTATGATAGTGTTAAGTTAAAAAAAGAAGCAGGCCACAAAAGAGTGGCCATACAACATAATCTTTTTCTTTAATTTACCAACTTGTCACAGTACAGTATGATATTAACTTTATTTAAAACGCATGCAACATATATACAAGGGTCAAAGGAAATGTATCAAAATAATGATGATGCTATCATGAGGATTTTTATTTCTAAAATGTGTTGCTTTTATATCAGAAAAATAAATATCCACAAAACTTAGTAGATCTGAAAGGAAGAAAGGAAAATATACTTTAGTAATTCACTTTGAAACCAAGGCTCAGGCTCAGGAATGTTCCATCTTATAAATGTAAAACCTTTTCTTTCTTTTTTTTTCTTATGTGAGAGGAATAAAAAGATCATTTTTATTTTTATGCCATCAAATCTATGGATAACTGGCAATAGACCTATAGTCTTTGTAACCCATGGATAAATCTTTTCTTAATAAGGATAGTGTCTGCAGACAAGTCAATATAGGATTTGGTACATAATTAAAAATGTCAGATGTTGGTGTCCTCTATCTGGAATAAGAGATGAGATGGGAGAGGAGATGATACACACATTTTCCCAGTACTTATTTTTCAGGGGTTTTGTATGAACAAAGATAATACTTTTTAAAAAAACTATAAATAGCCTTTGAATTGGCTATAAATTTTTTTTAGGAGACAGTCTCACTCTGCCACCCAGGCTGGAGTGCAGTGGTCCAGTCATAGCTCACTATAACCCAAATTCCTAGGCATAAGCACTCTTCCTACCTCAGACTTGCAAGTAGCTGCACTGTAGGACGACACCAGTACACTGGGCTAATTTTTTTTTAAAAATGTTTTTGTACTGACTGGGTTTTACTGTGTTGCTCAAGCTGGTTTCAAACTCCTAGTCCAGCGGTTCACAACCTATGGGTCACAACCCACAGGAAATTTATTAAAGGGTTGCTGTGGCATTAGGAAGGTTGAGAACTACTGTCCTAATCTCAAGTGATCCTCCCATCTTAGTCTCCTAAAGATCTGGGATTACAAGTGTAAGGTACATGCTGAGAATATTGGCTATGACTTCTTCTTCTTTTTTTTTTTTTGGCACTTTTTGGCTGGGGCTGGGTTTATTTATTTATTTTTATTAAATCATAGCAGTGTACCTTAATACTATCATGGGGTACAATGTACTGTTTCTGTGTACAATTTGAAATACTTTCACCAACTGGCTAACATAGCCTTCATGTCTTTTTCTTAGTTATTGTGTTAAGACATTTATATTCTACATTTAGTAAGATTCACATGTACCCTTATAGGATGAACCATAGATGTGATCACACCAATCACTCTCCCTCCACCCACCCTCCCTCTCCCCTCCCCTCCCTTTCCCCTCTCCCCATATTCCTGAGCTAAAATTGGGTTATAGCTTTCCTATGAAAGCTATAAATTAGTTTCATAGTAGGGCTGAGTACATTGGATATTTTTTCTTCCATTCTTGGGATACTTTGCTAAGAAGAATATTTTCCAGCTCCATCCATGTAAACATGAAGGAGGTAAAGTCTCCATCTTTCTTAATGGCTGCATAGTATTCCATGGTATACATATACCACAATTTATTGATCCATTCGTGGATCGATGGGTTCTTGGGCTTCTTCCATGACCTAGCAATTATGAATTGGGCTGCAATGAACATTCTGATACAAATATCTTTATTGGAGTGTGATTTTTGGTCTTCTGGATATATACCTAATAGAGAAATTATAGGATCAAATGGCAGGTCTATTTTTAGTTCTTTAAGTGTTCTCCAGATGTCTTTCCAAAAGGAACGTATTAGTTTGCAATCCAACCAGCAGTGTAGAAGCGTTCCCCTTTCTCCACAACCACGCCAGTATCTGTGATTTTGGGATTTTGTGATATAGACTAATCTTACTGGTGTTAGATGATATTTCAAAGTAGTTTTGATTTGCATTTCTCTGATGATTAAGGATGGTGAGCATTTTTTCTTATGTGAGAGGAATAAGAAATGTTTGTAGGCCATGCACTTGTCTTCTTATGTTTGTAGGCCATGCACTTGTCTTCTTCAGAGAAGTTTCTCTTCAAGACCCTTACCCACTCTGAGAGGGGGTCACTTGTTCTCTTCTTGCTAATATGTTTGAGTTCTCTGTGGATTCTGGTTATTAAACCTTTGTCGGAGACATAACCAGCAAATATCTTCTCCCATTCTGAGGGCTGTCTGCTTGCTTTACTTACTGTGCTTTTGTCTGTGCAGAAGGTTTTTAATTTGATGAGGTCCCAGTAGTGTATTTTTGATGTTGCTTCAATTGCCAAAGAGGTCCTCTTCATAAAATTTTTGCCCAGGCCAATTTCTTCAAGTGTTTTACCTACACTTTATTCTAGTATTTTTACAGTTTCATGTCTTAAGTTTATATCTTTAATTCAGTGAGAGTCAGTCTTAGCTGGTGAAAGGTGTGGATCCAGTTTCAGTCTTCTGGAGGTCACCAGCCAGTTCACCCAGCACCATTTGTTAAATAGGGAATCTTTTCCCCACTCAATGTTTTTAATTGGCTTGTCAAAGATCATATAACAGTAAGTAGCTGGGTTCATCTCTTGGTTCTCTATTCTGTTCCATACATCTACCTCTGTTTTTGTGCCAAAACCATGCTGTTTTGATCACTATGGATTTATAGTAGAGCCTGACGTCTGGTAGCGTGATTCCTCCTGCTTTGTTTTTATTTCTGAGTAATGTCTTGGCTATTTGATGTTTTCTCTGATTCCATATAAAATGAAGTATTATTTTTTCAAGATCTTTAAAGTATGACAATGGAACTTTAATAGGGATTGCATTAAAATTATATATTGCTTTGGGTAGTATGGACATTTTAACAATGTTAATTCTTCCCAATCATGAACATGGTATGTTTTTCCATTTGTTAACATTTTCAGCTATTTCTTTTCTTAGAGTTTCATAGTTCTCTTTATATGGGTCTTTCAAGTCTTTTGTTAGGTAAACTCTCAAATATTTCATCTTCTTTGACATCTTCTTTGGCACGGAATAGAGTTCTTGACTATTTTTTCAGCTTGACTGTTGTTGGTATATATAAAGGTTACCAATTTATGAGTGTTGATTTTGTAACCTGAGACGCTGCTGTATTCCTTGATCACTTCTAAGAGTTTTGTGGTAGAATCTCTGGTATTTTCCAGGTATACAATCATGTCATCTGCAAAGAGTATAAGTTTAATCTCTTCTGATCCTATATGGATACCCTTGATTGCCTTTTCTTCCCTAATTGTGATGGCTAAAACTTCCATTATGATGTTAAAGAGCAATGGAAACAATGGGCAACCTTGCCTGGTTCCTGATCTGAGTGGAAATGATTTCAATTTAACTCCATTCAATGCTATGACTTCTTTTCTTTCTTTTTTTTTTTTTTTTTTTTTTTGCTATACAATCTTACTCCGTTGTGCAGGCTAGGGTGCCATGGCATTAGCCTAGCTCACAGCAACCTCAAACTCCAGGGTTCAAGTGATCCTCCTGCCTCAGCCTCCCAAATAGCTGGGACTACAGGCAACCCCACCACAACACCCAGCCAATCTTGCTGGAGCTCCTGAACTCAAGCAATTCTCCTGCCTGGGCCTCAGAGAGTACTAGAATTATAGATGTTAGCTGCTGCACCTGGCCTCAGCTATGATATTTTGACAATCATTTTGCATGTTAGAAAATTCTTTCATTTTTTTTTATTGTGGTAAACATTACATAAATTTTATCAGCTTGACCATTTTTAAATGTATAGTTCAGTGTTATTAAACACAAGCATAATGTTGTGTAATCATCACCACTATCTCCCTAACTCAGGTAAATTTGAAACTCTATACCCATTAAATAATTATTCCCCATTATTCCCTCCCCCAGCCCCTATAAACCTTCTTTTATGCTCTGTGGTTTTGACTGTTCTAAATATCTCACAGAAGTGGAATCACACAATATTTGTCTTTTTGTGACTGGTTTATTTAATTTAGCAGAATACCCTCAAGGTTCAGCCATGTTGGAGTATGTGTGAGAATTTTCTTCTTTTTTAAGGCTGAATACTATTATATTTTATGTATACACCACATTTTGCTTACCTAGTCTCCTGACAATGGACACTGGGTTACTTCCATGCTTTAGTTATTAACCTAGATATTATTTTATGAGAACGAGGAATGAAAGGACAATTTACAAATGTTACTCATGTTATTGCCCTCAGGGCCTTCTGCACCCTCAGGAAGCAGTAGGAGTTAATCTCCTGGGCTATGACTCTACTTCACCCAGGAATTCTCTGGGGAAAGGGCACTGTGGATCATTAACAGCAACATCTACTGCAGCTGGGATGTAATGGCAGTGAGGCTGGGACCCTTACAGCATCCATCACACAGTCCATTATAATGCATAATATTATGGTGAACCACCCTGTACATAATCTTTAGGTATATCTGTAATTATTTCTGAGGCTAAATTCCCAGAGGTAGTTTAAACAAAGAATACTAATAGCTAATAGATATGTTTATTGAATGGATTGGTAGAAAAATAAATCAGGAGAGGAGGCGTAAGGAGAGAGAAAAGATGGAGGGAGGTGAAGGAATGAAGAAGATAGGTATGTGGCACGCAGATCCAGAATGGGCTCCTGAGGGGAGGGTCCCTCTCACCTTGGTGACAGGACCAGCATGGGCCTGGTACTCATTGAATTCTTTCTGCAAAGGTAGAGGGTACTTCATTGCACGGATGGTTCCCATTGAGGTGCCCACAAACATCATGCGCCCGGAATGTGAAATGACAATGGCTGTGTAGGTGACATCGAATGCTGACATCTCTCGAAGGACCTGGAATGCAGACAGCTCTGTTCAGCAGGAGGGGCTGAGCTGCAGCTCCAGTGTCCCAAAGCCATTCTTTCCCTCTCCTCCAATAGCACTCTTAGGGGTCTGTATTTAAGGAAGTTATTTTTCTATTCTTTATAGCATCTGGAATAGTGTTTAGAACATAATAGGCACAAACTAAATATAATATTAACTAAATATAATATTTCTTGATTGCTTAACTGATGAATAATTAGTTCTAGGAGTTGAGAATAATACTAGTGAAAGGAAATAGTTATGTAGCTGAGCACAGTTCTATGCCTTTTTTTTTTTTGCAGTTTTTGGCCAGCACTGGGTTTGAACCCACCACCTCTGGTATATGGGGCCAGCGCCCTACTCCTTGAGCCACAGGCACCACCTGGTTCTATTGCCCTTTTCATCTTGTTACTTATTCAATTCTTACAAAAACCCTCTAAGGTGGCCCCTGTTATCCCTATTTTAAAGATGACAAAACAAAGTCACAAAGGTGGTATCTAACTTTGGTCAACTCCTGTACCTAGTGAGTGGCAATCTGGCTCTAGTCTCTGCATTTGATGGCTACACTATCATGCTTCTCAAAATGAGAATGGGATATTGACCATAAATTTATTTAGTAAACATTTATTAATGCCCATTATATAAACAAAACTATACAGTAGTCCCCCTTCATCTGTGGGGAGGACACCTAGTAAATCCTTGAGACCACAGATAGTACTGACCCTTATATGTACTATGTTCATACATATCTATATAACTATGATAAAATTTAATTTATATATTAGGCACAGTAAGAGACTAACAACAGTAACTAAAAATAGAGTAATTATAACAATATACTGTAAACAAATATCTTATTGTTCTGTACTCACCTATTTTTGGACCATAGTTGACCTCAGATGACTGAAACTGCAGTTAAAGGGGGACTACTGTACTCTCAGGGAACTCACTGATTCCTCCACTCATTGAAGTATTCACCCATCCACCCATCTGAACATTTACTGAGTAACTTGTGGGGCTATCAAGACAAGTGAAACATGGCTCTGCCAGAAAGGACATTTACTCTGCTGTTGCACTGTAAAAGCCATCACAGGATTGGGATCAGACTACTTGGAAGTACACAGGAGAGTATCTTACTCTATGCCACCATGGGGGGACCTGCCTATGCACTTTCCCAGGCAGCAGCTGCATGACAGTGATGAGCCTTGAGGAAAGGCCAGAGAAGCCAGTGCAGATCAGCTGTTGCTGGGCTCCTAGAGAGGGACACAAGCCACATTTGTATGCAGTGTCCTTGCTGAGCTCGCCTATCTTCCTTTAATTATTTGCAGCCAAATGTAATAATTCTAAAATTGCAGAATTTGGGGATTTCAACAAGAACTGGTGGCCAGTCTAGCTGATAAACACTAACTATCCAGTCATTCCATGCTTGATATGGAGATACGCTCTGAGAAACTTGTGCGTAGTTGACTCTACTGTGTGAACATCACAGGGTGTACTGCCACAAGCCTGGGTAGTCTAGCCCACTACACCCCAGGTTGTATGATCCAGCCTATTGCTTCTAGGCAACAACATGGACAGCATGTTATTGTGCTGCATACTGTAGGCAATTGTAGCACAATGGTATGCATGCATCTAAACATAGGAAAAGTACAGGAAATATGCGATTTTAGAATCTTATGGGACTGCCACTGTATATGCAGTCTGTTACTGACATCCTGTTGTGTTTTTACCACAGTAAAGTAAGTGCACACCAAGAATAAGACAGCAGTTCAGAGAGGATGCCAACCTCAATGCCTGGAAGGTAGAAGAGAAGTTACAGAGAGCAATACAACAGAAATGGAAGGAGCACTACAATTTGGGAAGGGCACTGGGTGGGATATTCAGGAAGTGACACTAACTGAGCTGCCTCCCCAAAAGGAATGAGGAGCCAGGTGTTATTCCATGAAGAAGCCTGTACTTCCTGCGGTAAGCACGTGGACCAGTACAGCAGCCCAGCAGTCTGCAGGGGCAGACCCACCGAAGAATCTGCAATCTCCTTGATGGTCTGGTCTGATCCAACAGCAAATATAATTTTGGAATCGGGGGAGATGGTAACATAGTTGTAACTGCAGGACTTGAGCACACATTCTGTCTCTCTCTTCCCTGTGGTCAGATTCCATTCATATACAGCACCATCTGTACCACAAGAAATCAGTTTGCTGTCATCTGCATTCCACACGATGGAACGAATCTGCAGGGGATGAAAATGTGTCTGGTTAAGGGTGTACATGTATGCACATGCACACGTGTGCACATACACACACATACACACAGACACACATGTGGAAAAGACATGAACTCCTCAGATGGTCCACTCAACTGAGGCAAAATATCCTTTCCTGGCATAGGCCCTCCTGCCAGCACAAAACACAGCTTCTTGGAAATGTTAACATTCTCTTTCCAATGAGATTTGCAAACTACTGAGGATGAAACACTCATTTCTTTTTCATTTTATGAATGAAAAGACTGAATCATAATAGTTTATTAAAACTACAACCAACCAATTTGTGCTGATTTTTTTCAAAACTTTTTTATTTTGGCAGAGTTATATATTCACAGGAAGTTGCAAAAATAGCACAGAGAAAGTAGACTTCTGGAATGACAACGTACAGGCCTCAGGTGACTTAAATAATAAAATAAGTTAACTGAAAAATATGACCCAAATAGTCATTTAACTTCTGTAGAAACTATCCTAAGGGCATACAGCAAATAGAAAAATCCACTTAACTTTGGTAGGAACAGTCTGTGGCATTTGAGCCATGACTTCAGAAACTTCACTGCTGTATACTCTGGGCAGGTGTGGCTAAGACAAAGGGACTCTTTCTCCTCACAGCCTTGGGCTGTGGTTTCACTCTGGAAGTGTGGATTTCTGGCATTTTGTATCTCTGCCCTAGTCCCATGTTGCCAAACCTATATTCTACACAGGCATGGCCAAGGGACCTGGACTTCTTTCCCTGTTCCAGTCCCCACTTATCAGTGTAAGCTTCACTGCAAGTGCAGCAGGCTGAGAATAATGGTACCTCAATTGCTCCTGCCCCAGTTTTTTCAGAGGGTTGAGGTTCTCAACCATGAAGGACCAGGGGCTTACACATACACATGCACACAGTACCACTTGAGGATGTTACGCCTGGGAAAGCAGGTCCCTGAGCCCAGCTCTAATGCAGTGGAGCAAAGCTTCTGCCCAGGGCAAAATCAGGCCCTAAGACAAGAGCTCTATGGCTCTGCATGAGGGGACTGACTTTATTGGGAACAAGATGGAGAAGTCCACAACTATGGGTATTGTCTGAAAACATGGTAATCTTGGTATTAAGAATGATTAAGAGGAGACTGGTAAATCCATGATACAAGTAAAATGGCAGAGCAGTAGAATTTTAACAGGGAGTAACAAGGGAAAGAAATAGTCAAGTAGAGCGCTTCTGAGATCACAGGCAACTCTGGAGGCTGGATGGCTGTGTGCATGTACTAGACTGCACCCCCCTCCCCCCCAGGTGCAATTGGAGGAAGATGGGGCTGGAACACTTCAAAGCATCTCCTAAGCTACATGCAGACTTAATTACATGGAGAAGAGTTTCTCTGGCACAAGGGGCTTAAATGTAGCAGCCTATCAAACAACAAACAAGATCCTCTGACTCCAAGGAAACTAAATCATACCCATCCCTGGCAGCCTGGAAGACTGTGCATTCCCAAGGCTCAACCCTCTCTTGTACAATCAATGGAATATCCAAGTCACTAGTGTCTGGCTGAACATGAAGCACAAAACAAACTCTGAACTATGGTATCAGCTCCCAAAGCACAAACAAATCTAATAATAAAGGTAAAAATCTACCTGACCGAGGGTTTTAGGCACAATCTGTAACTAATAAACAGTTTAGGCCACCCAGGGGCAACCCCTAGATAGACTAAAGATATCTGAACAGGGATATCAGAGGTGACACACTGCCAGGGAAAAAGACTTCACAGAATTATTTCAGCCAAGTTACTAAACAGATAGACAACCATCCAACCAACCATAACAACCCCCGAGAAGAACAGAATTGCTACAGTATGTTGTTTAAAATATTTGGTCATTATTATGTTTATGAAACATAAACAAAACACAGGATAGTGTGACCAACAAGAAAATGACAGAAAGGAAAAAAAACAGGCAATAGAAACTTTTGAAGTTTTTGAAGGGGCCCAGGTGATGAACTAAGCAGACTTCAAGGTAGCTCATATAAATATATTCAGTATCCTGACAAACACAAGTATTTATCTTGTCTTCAATTATTCATAATTAAACAAGTCACATCAAATAGAGACTACCAATAAGGAGATAAAAATTACTTTAAAAAAAAAGAACATTCCAGAATTGAAAAATACAACCACCAAAATGAAAAATTTACTAGGTGGGCTAAACAGTAGCTTTCACCTAGGGAACTGGAAGGTAAATCAATAGAGATTATGCAATCTGAGGGACATGCAGAAAAAAAAATCCTGAAAAGTCAACATAGCCTCAGAGAAATGTGTGCAACCATTAAACACACCAACATATGTGTACTATAATGGGAGCACCATGAGGAGAGAAAAAATATACAAGTAAATAATGCTGAGCACATCCCAAATTTGTTGAAAACATTAACCAACAAAATATTCAAGAAGTGTTATAAATTCCAAGTAGGATAAATGCCAAAAAAAAAAAAAATCTATGCATATCATAGTCAAAATGTTGAAAGCCATAAGAAAAAATGATACAAGTGAATGCCCATAAAGATTAACATCTGGCTGTTCATCAGAAGTAAAACAGGCCATAAGGCAGTGGGAAACATATTCAAAGTACTAAAAGTAAAAAAAAAAAAAAAAAATCTTATATCCAGAAAATGTGTATTTCTGTATTTTAAACATAAAGCCTAAATATATTCCCAGATAAACAAAAACTGATAAAAATCCATTGCTAGATGATCTGCCTTACAAGAAATACTAAAGAAAGTAATATAAGCTGAAAGTAGGTGGCCTCAGACAGTTGCCTAAATTCATAAAAAATAACAACAATGACAACACCATCAAAGGACCAGAAAAAGATACATGCATTGTCTGGCCTACAACAGGTAAAAAGTAATAAGTATAGTTGACCCAACAGCACAAAAGAGATGAGTAGAAATAAAGCTTTATGGGAATAAGAAAATGACACCAGATGGTGACTCAAATTCACAAGTAGAAATGAAAAGAACCCCCCCAAAATAAAAATATTATGAATAGATGTTAAAGTTCACTAACTTGTATTGTATCTTCATTTGCAGAGGTAAGCATATCATTTTTCCTCATTGTTATGTTAACTGCATTCCTGGAATAAACTCAACTTAGTCATGCTGTGTTATTTTTTTATATACTATTGCTGGATAGGTCTGATGATATTTTGTTTAGGGCTTTTCTATCTATATTCATAACACATACTGCTTATTATCTTTCTTTCTTGTGGTATCTTTGACAGGTTTTGATATCACGATTATGCTGGTAGCATAGAACAAAACTGGAAAGTATTCCCTCTTTAAAAAATTTTCTTAAAGTTTTTTTTCAAGATTAGTGTTATTTATTTCTTATGTGGTGATATAATCCTGCAGTGATATGATCTGGGCCTATAGTTTTCTTTGTAGGAAGGTTTTAAATTAAATTACAGATTTAATTTGTATAGGAATTTATCAGTTTCATTTATATTCAAAGTTATTGCCATGAAGTTGTTCCTAATATCTTCTATGATCTATTTAATACCCACAGAACCTTTAGTGACATTCTCTTTTATTCCTTGGCTATTTGTATCTTCTCTCTCTTTTGTTCTTAATCATGCCAAGGGTTTGTCTGTTCTGTGTTTTCAAAGAATCAGGTTTGGCTTTGATAATCTTCTCTTGCACGTCTGTTTTCTATTTCAGTAACTTTTGCTCTTTATCTTTGTTATTTCCTGCCTTTTATTTTCTTTGAATTTAATTTGCTGTTCTTTTTTTCTGTATGCATGGCTTTAGCTGCATTCTCTATCTGTATTTTTAAAAAATGTTACACATGTAATTCTAACATATGCCCCTGATTAGAGTAAGGACTTGCAAACTGATAAATCAAAATTCCTAGATGCGTATGGTAGTGAATCAGACTCGCATTCTGTGCTTTCATCTGTATCTTCACAGTCACTTAAAGACTAAGTACATTGCTGAAGCTGAAGAACTCAGCAGCTCTCAAAAAGAATCTTGTAAAATATTTCAAATTGTGTGTGGAACCAGCACATTGTACTCCATGATTGCATTAATGTACACAGTATGATTTAATAATAAAAAAAAATCTTGTGTTTACATAGCACTTTCATTTCCCAAGTGTTTTCTTTTTTTCCACTTCTGTGACCTATTATTCACTAAAGTTAATGGCTAGTTTTTAGTCTTTACATGACCTCTCTGCAACATATAGCACCACTGACCACTCCATCCTTTTGGAAATTGTGTAGGTGCTTGCCTTCCTTGACATGATTCTCTGATTCCAGGTTCTCCTTGTATCTTCACTTTCAGTCTTTCATCAGCTCCTCTTTTTTCACCAAGTTCTTAAATATTGGCCCTTCTCCTGAATCAGATTCTTCTCAGATTCCACATAGGCCCTTGGTGATCTAACAGATGCCTGTGACTTCCTTGACTACCTAATCCCCTGGATCTTCATTGTCAGCCTTGACTGCTTTCTTAACTTCCACTCACACACATTATACTTCCTAGGCAAACGAAACATAATATATCCCAAATGGATCTTTCTTCTCTGTCTCTACCACTAAAGCCATGGCTAATTCTTGACCCATCCTTCACTCTCACACCCTCACTGGTTTCTATCACTCCATCTTCCCTCCCCTCTAATCCATCCTTGATACTGTTCAGAGAATTGCCTTTCTGATCTCATTTCTTCCTTTATGAAATCCTTCCAATTACTTCTCAAACCTACAGAGTAAAGTCCTGCTTCTTGGCATGGTGCACATTGCCTTCTGTGATGTGCCCAATCTTTCTGTCTCCTGCTTTTGAACTTGAATTTTTTGTTTTGTTTTGAGACAGTCTCACATTGTTGCCCAGGCTAGAGTGCAATGGCATCATCATGGCTTATAAGTGATCCTCTTGCCCCAGTCTCCCAAGTGGCAACTACAGGTGCCTCCTACATGCCCAGCTAGTTTATTTTTTCTTCTATTTTTAGTAGTGATGGGGTCTCATTCTTCCTCAGGCTGGTCAGGAACTCCTGAGCTCGAGCAATGCACCCACTTTGGCCTCCCAGAGTGTCAAAATTACAGGCATGAGCCACCTGGCCTGGCCCTAGCTCCTGCTTTTATCATGCCCAGTGTCCAGCCACATGAACCAAAAGTACCATCCAATTCCACACTCCATTCCATCATCTCCAACACACCCTTCTGCCTAGAATGCCTTTCTTTTTAAATTGCCTCTTTTCTACCAAGTCAGTTGCTGACTTCTCTCACATCCAATCTTACTCCAGGACATATTGGTTTATTTCCTAAAATGTTTCAAATACACCCACTTCTCCCTAACTTTACCATTATGATCCAAAGTACTATCATCTATGGAGTAGATATCCTCCACAGCTTCCTTATCATTTATACCTTTTTCTCCTCCAATAGATTCTTCACTCTGTAGCCAAAGTAATCTTTTAAAATGAAAATTTGTCATATCACTCCCTGTCCTAAAAGTCTTTAGTGATTTCATGGAATAAAGGGATAAGGTATGAAATCCTTGCCAGGCTCCCTATGAACTCTCTAATCTCAGCCCCTGCTTCACCCCATGGTTAATCCTGGTATCTATGTGCCTGCTCTACAGACTTCAGTTACTCTGATACCCCATGAAATCTCTCATCTCTGGTCTTTGGATCCCTATCTGCAATGATTACCTCCTTCCCCTCACCACCCCCAACTTTGTCTGGTTAATACCTAGTTATTCCTCCAGGATCAAACCTTTACAAGTAGCCCAACCTAAATTATGCCAACCCTTTCATTATTTCTTCTCATAACCCCATTTTTCTTTCACTGAATTAATTGCAATTAGTAATTAAATCTGTCTGAGCATTTGTTTATTGTCTCTTTTGGTACTGTGCCCCTTGTTTCCCTGGACACTGTTAATCACTTACCTTCCCTGTGTGTCCTTTCAGGTTTGAGATGTTCTCTAGGCTTGTTGTGGTAAAAATGTGAATCACATTTCCATTGACTGCAGCAAACAGGTGACCTCCATTGCTAAAGGAACACTATAGGGAAAGCAAGTGAACAAGTAGGCAAGAACGAAATGGACAGTCCAACTGGAGATTATAGGCAAGAGTTGCTTTTCCCAAAGAGTTGAGGTTGAAATGACCAGTGCAGGTAGGAGTGGAAGGAAGGTGCAAATAGGACTGAGAGGCAGCTGGCATTTTCAAACACTTTCACTATTCTGTAGCCCACAGTGGCCAAGATGTTGACACTGCCATGCCCACTAATCTCTAAGCGGTTTGGCCAGCAGAGCACTCATTTTGTCTGTAGAAACTCCATTTGAGAGCAGGGAAGTGAGTCCTGAAATCATGGTCCTGTTTCTGCAAGCCCTTTCAGGGGAAACCTGATAGATGCTCACTGCTTCTCATTGTTGATGCTAATTTCCCCCCGGCCCTTGACAATCTCCAACCTTGTCTTCCCAGCTGTGAGTCTGATTCTGAGAATACTTTTGTCAATATTTGCTAATACTCCACCACTACAGAGAGGACTTAGCACAGGTGGGATCTCACAGTGAAATGTTTTAGTGGGTATAAGAAAGTGGGATAGAATCATATACTCAGTAAGTTTGTTGAGTGAAGAATTGGATTTTTTTCTTTTTAAAAAAAACTATTAAATAAAATTCTTAAAGACTTTTGTCCCACCTCCCAGAACATGTTAGTTCATGATATTTCCACACTGGCTCTATCTCCAGCAGTTTTTACCTCTCTGCATCCTCTGATGGAGTATTCTTTGAAAGAACGTATATCATCAATGAGTAGATTCATAAGGCGTAGTTTGTCAGCAAACCCCACTACGATGAAGTGTCCAGATGGATGAAGGCTGATCGTATACGCCTCTTCCTGGTATTCCTTAAATAGTTCCAGAGTACTGTGACAAAAATCAATTACTGAGTTACAAGCCTAGTCTACTAAATCCCTTAAGTGCTCTGTTGTATCTGGTATATGATGTCATCACATACCCTGAGATACTTTATTGCTCATGATTATTGGCTCCTTTCTTTTCTAGATTTTGGTTCCTTGAGGATGATGTCCAGCACTGAGTATGGCAAACAAGCAGACTGGTCAAGGTGCTGGTCAGTGATGCGGAAGACAAAACTCTATTTAGATTCCCCAAATCACAAGGACTGCATAAGCATCCTCCCCCAGCAGTCACAGAAGTTGGATGCAAGAGCAGAGACAAGTGCAGGGCTGAGTAGGGTTGGAGATTCTCAGGGAAATTGTGCTGAGGTAATATCAGTACGGGCTGGGGGGTGGCTGGGGTAGTGAGGAGGAGAAAGAGGAGGAACAAGGGGTCTGCTCTATGATTCAGAAAGCAGATCTGGGGGAAGTGAGCGGACAAAGTCAGATACTGGGGTGTTATCTTTATGTCCCCAGTGTCTAGCAGAGTGTCTGGTATGTAGTAAGCATTAATAAACCACAAAGTTTTCTTCCCTATGCAAATGTGAGAAACAAGTAGGTTGACTGACTTGATTTAAAGAACATCTTTTCCAACTGAAAGTTTTTTTTTTTTTTGAGATAGAGTCTCACTCTGTCACCCTGGCTAGAGTACAGTGGCATCATAGTAGCTCACTGTAAACTCAAACTCCAGGGCGCAAATAATCCTCCTGCCTCAGCTTCCCAAATAGTTGGGACTATAGGCACATGTCACCACACTCAGCTAATTTTTCTATTTTTAGTAGAGACAGGGTATCACTCTTGCTCAGGCTGGTCTCAAACTCCTGAGGAAGTGATCCTCCCACCTCAGCCTCCCAAAATGTGAGCTGCTGTGCCTGGCCTCTAAGTAATTAATTTAAAAAATCTCCAATTAAAATAATTCATGTGAACAAAGTTAAAAACTGAAATCCTGAATACTACAGTAGCAAAACCTTTCATTCCTTACTTTGATTCATAATTCCAGATGCGAACAGATCGATCCAGAGAAGAGGTGGCAATGAGAGGTTTGCGGATGCAGGTATCTAGACCGGTGATGGATGCTGAGTGTAATGGGTACATCAGATACTCGAAGTGAGCAGGCTCCCCCTGGAGAAATTGTACAGAATGAAATCCAGCAGGGTAAGAAAAAGGCTGGCTGTGTACCTCAGCTCTAATTAGTTTTCATAAACTTTAATTAGCCTAGTTGTACAGAAATCAGGCTGAAGGCAAACTGTTTGAATATTGTGTGCATTTTCCTGTGTCACTATTATTTTTAAGGCAACAAAATGTTTTATCCTATGGATATTCTAGAATTTAATTAACCATTCCTCTACTGGAGGAAGATTTAGGTGGTTTCCAATTTTTATTATTTAGGAATAACACTCTAGACTAAATATTCTTGCATACAAGTATTTGTGTACCTACTTGATTTGGTATGAATGAATTTAAGGACCTGCATAAGTTTTTCTCCAGAGAGAATATCTTAGTTATGCTACCATCAGCAGCAAATGAAAGTCAGGTGAATGATTTTAACTTGAACTGTATCCTATTACACTGGTTATGTAGGTTCCAGATGTCCGTCATCAGAGGCACTATCCCTGGGACACCTGAATGAGGAGTGATAGCTGGGAAATGTAATGAAGTGTACATATTTAGGTCTGTTCACAAGCTAAGACAAAGGCTGAGATGGAAATCCCCTCAAATTCTGGCCCTGCACCACTTACAAACTTATCTATATCCATTGCATCCTACTCTACTATCTCAGAGAAGGAGGTGGCATGGTGGGGTGGGAGGAAGGCAGAGGTTAGTCCCATTCTTTTTCCTTTTCCAATACCTTCAACCTGTTTCTAGTAGCATATTCCTATTAGCTTTCAAATACACTCAATGTCTCTTGACTTGAAAACAAAAGCAATTCTATCTCATCCTCCTCTTCTCTGCACTTCTGCCTGAGTAGCCATGTAATAATGGAGAATTAGACAAGCAGGCTTCCTGGTTTCACTTAGAATTCATGACCACAAGCTTCCAGGGGGCATTTAATCCTTCCTAGTAACTCTACCATGTTTTTCAGTAAGTTCACTTTCTGAATATTCAGGATAACTATTGCATATTACTTATTCTCTGTTTTCAAACCTTCTAAACTCTTCCATTCCCAAATCTTATCTGATGCCATTATGCAATATTTCTTTGGTTTTTGTATATTTGTTTTCTTTTTAGGAGCAGAGTTTCTGACTATCACAATGAATTCATGTATGGGCAATTTTATTTTATGTTTATTTCATTACTTTCTTCTCCTTTTCCTTCATTTACTCCGGCTTGTCCCTTGCAATGGATAGCAACTAATGGACTTCATGCATGTCTTTATATACACATATATTTTCAATTTCTATAAATGCTATTGTGCTTTAGAATAAATTCTGTGTTTTTACTTTTTCCTCTCTATACTACTTTTAAAGAATCGTTTATGTTGAAGTATGTATAATTTATTGCTTCTAACTGATGTTTGGTGTTCTACAGTATGTATCCAGCTACTTTACTTCTCTATTACCACTAGGGATGGATATGTAAATTGTCTTCAACTCTTCATTGTTACAACATTATGGGGAGCATCTTTGTACATGTTCCTTAATGGCCTTGCAAGATGAAATAAACTCCTGATATGTATCCAGTGGCAGATTACTGGATAACAGTAATCTGTTTTAATTTCCTTTTCTTTTTTACTCACAGGCAATAGAAACTCCTTGGTAGAATACTCACATGTTGGATCTAACAGACAAAAGCTTCAAAGTAGCCATTATAAACATGTTCAAAGAACTGAAGGAAACCATAATTATAGAAGTAAAGAATGATGACAATGTGTATCAAATAGTGAACAATAAAAAGATCTCATCAATAAAAGTAGGGAACTTGATAGATCAATAAGGATTATGCATTTGAAGAACAGAGAGAAAAAAGAAGAAAAATTAACTGAGCCTCAGATAAATGTGGGACACCAACAAAGTTAAACAAAGTTAAAAGTGAACAAAGTTAAACAAAATAGCATAAAATAGTATGAATATTAGAGGAAAGGAGAAAGAGAAAGAAGCAGAACAAAATATTTCTTTTTTTTTTTGAGACAGAGCCTCAACCTGTCCCCCTGGGTAGAGTGCTGTGGCATTACAGCTCACAGCAACCTCCAACTCCTGGGCTCAAGTGAGTCTCCTGCCTCTGCCTCCCAAGTAGCAGGGCCCCACCACAACGCCCGGCTATTTTTTGGTTGCAGCCGTCATTGTTGTTTGGCGGGTCTGGGCTGGATTTGAACCCGCCACCTTAGATGTACGTGGCTGGCGCCTTAGCTGGTTGAGCTACAGGCACCGAGCCAGAACAAAATATTTTAATAACTAATAGCTAGAACATTTCTAGTTTATTAAAAAAAATTAATGTAAACACATAGGAAGCACAATGAACTCCAAGTAGGAAAACCACAAAATGATCCATAAACAGACATATCATAGTAAAAATACTGAAAGCCAAAGAAAAGAAGAAAATTTTGAAAGCATCAAGACAAAAATGACTGATAATTTGCAAAGTGATTATTACGATTAATAATATTAATAGTAGACATTTTAGCAAAAACAATGGAAGCCAGAAGAGCATGAAATAACATGTTCAAAGTGCTTGAAGAAAAAAACCCAACAACCTACCAACCAAGAATCTTATATCCTGCAAAGCTATCTTTCAAAACTGAAGTGGAGATAAAAACATTCCCAGCAAAAATTTACAGAATGTGTTGCTAACATATCTGCCTTATAGGAAATCCTTCCAGCTGAAAGCAAGTGGCCCCAGACAGTAATTCAAATCCACATAAAACAAAAAGCCCTGGTCAGGATGATTACATAATTATAAAAGACAATACGAATACATATTTCATCTTCTTTCTTCTGATTTAAAGAACAGTTTTTATGTACTTGTGTCTTATTTTGTACTTACCAGTTTCTATGTATTTATTTTGTTATCCATACAAAAATGTTTGTAAAACCCAATGTATATAATATACTGTTGGCCTATTAACATACAGAATGTAATATATTTGCCAATTATAGGACACAGATGGGTGGAAGCAAATGTGTACCAGATTAAAAAAATGACTCCAATGATAACTCAAGGCCACAGGAACAAATGAACAGAACCAGAAATGATAAAAAAAAGCTATAAATATATAATTGTTCCCCATTATTGCCTTAGCTTCTTTAAAAGACACAAGATTTAAGGTAAAAATTATAATAATACATTATTTGGTATATAACATTTATAGGTGTAACATACAAAAAAATAATACCACAAAAATGAGAAAAGGGGATATAGATATATATTGTAACATTTATATATCCTTTTTTTTTTTTTTGGAGACAGAGTCTCACTCTCTAGCCCTTGGTGGAGTGCTGTAGCATCACAGCTCACAGCAGCCTCAAACTCTTGGGCTCAAGCAATCCTCTTGTCTCAACCTCCTGAGTAGCTGGGACTACAGGCACCTGCCACAATACCCAGCTTTTTTTTTTTTTTTTTTTTTTGTTTAGCAGGCCTATCTAGGCCAGGTTTGAACCCATCAGCCCTGGAGCATGTGGCTGGCACCCTAATCACTGAGCTATAGGTGCCTAACGAGCATTTATATATCTGAACTGGCATTTAATTAGTATAAATCTGAATCTAATAAGTTAAAAATGTATATGGTAAGCTCTAGGAAATAACTAAAAAGATATAGCAAAAAAAAGTGAAGAAAATAAAATACTACATTAAAAATTCTTTTAATGTGAAAGAAGGAAGTTAAGGGGGAATAGAGGAACAAAAACCCCATGACACACATAGAAAACAAAAGGTAAAATGGCAGATGTAAATCCAACTATACCAATAAAAACACTAAATATAAATGTATCAGATGATTCAATCAAAAGTCAGAGATTATCAGACTGATTAAAAAAGTCAAGATCCAATTATATGCTATGTATGGTAGACACATGTGAATAAAAGATACAAATATATTAAAAGTAAAAGGATGGAAAAAGATATATAATGGAAATCGGAACTATAAGAAATCTGAAATGGTTCAAGTAATATTAGATGAAATAGGCTTCAAAACAAAAAATGTTACTAGAAATAGATATTTTAGGATAACAAAAGGGTCAATCCATCAGGAAGATTTAATAATTGTAAACAAATGTACCTATCAATAGAGTACCAAAATGTATAAGGTAAAAACTATAAGGGGAATACAGACGATTGACCAGTAAGAGCTGAAGAGTGCAATACCCCACTTTCAGTAACAGATAAGACAACTAGAAAGACAAGAACATAGGGGTACAGGTGAATCTTTCTAAGAGTAGAACGTGAACATTTTAAAGCAATAACTGAGAAAATGACATGAAGGCTGTGTTGACCAGTTTGATGGAAGTGTTTCAGATTGCATGTGAAAACCCCAC